AAAAAAAAAAAAAGGAGGTTCTATCTCTTATGGTATTGATTACAGAATTCAGACAATAGTCTTCTACCCATTTTCTTCATCAGAGCAACACTTTGGCATCAGATTTTAAGTCCTACTTATTCAGGAAAAAAAAGACCATCCTCCCACAGAGGAACCTGTTTATCTTCGAAGCACCATGTTTGTACTGCTGCATTGCCTGCACAAGCTCATCTGGACCAAAGACAGCTGGGTAACTTCCAGCCCAATTTCAACAACGCTTCTAACAACCAACCATCTGTCTTGTCACCTGTGAATGCTGAAGGACGGAAAGCTGCCAACCGTGGTAGCAGATTGAGAACCGTCATCTGGATCAAGGAATTTTTGCTGGTTCTGCACTTGAGAACCCACTGGCACACCTGAAAGGAGACAGATTGGACTTTGAAGGATGGCCATTGGCAGTAATGCATGAATGTTTATTACCTTTAAGGCATGCCACTGACATTTGGCTTCAGAGTCTATCAGAATGACGGATAATTAAGACTGCTTCCAAAGAAAGCAAATCACTTGCTCTAAGACAGTGATGAAGCCAGGATACACATAATTAATGAGTTTTGATGCCACACTTCAATAGTAGGCAGTATTGCCTGCTAAGTAAGGACATGGAGGACAACTGCTCTATAAGAATCAGTGTTGTGAATTTTGGTAGCCAAGTTGAAGAACAAACACTTACTTGATCAAACTTCTCTTCCATTAGATCCCTGCAACATCGACTTTCTACCAACGTAGACTTTGCTGGGACAGGTGAGGTTGCGAAACCCATGATTCCTTGGTGGGCACTGTACCCCAGAAGACCAGCCAAGGCATTTGACTGAGAGGGCTGAAGGGACTGGAAGCTAGTGAAGGGAGTGATGTGGCGAGGTTTGGTACTGAAGCCCATCAAGTCTTTACAGTACTTGTCATGCACAAGCTGCTGCTGAGTGATCTCTTCCATCTCCTCTCTAAGGCGCTGGACAAAGTAGAAAAGCAGGTTTTTAAAAAAACTGAAGCTGCATAAGAGATTTCCAACACAGCACCACCCAAATCTCCTGAGCAGCATCCTGTATAATTGTTATCCAAATGGCAGTAAAACATCAATGAAGCAAAATCCAGCAAAAATATCTGGGTATCTAATGTGCAACAGAGAGTTCTCATTCTATATAAACCTCTTTTTCACTGTAAAGAATCCAGTTAATAGCACTTTCCATCTGAGTGTAACACCTACTCAACCCAAACGTGTCGCTGTTTTTTCTCTGACATGCTTCAGTTTGTACTAAGCAATGCTCTGACTCCATGTTCAGATGACTTTTCAGCCCAGTGACCCCATTTCAAACATAATTGGGTGTTTCCACAGATTATCAAGCTGCTACATATTGGCAATCTGTCTGGCAACCAAAAGCCATAATCCTCATCTTGTTCATTTGCTCACCTCTCCCTCCATACTGCTGATTCTCACTAGCTCATTGAGGATCAGTAAGGCACCATGGATTCGGTCATCACGGTTCATTCCTTTCTCTTTGGCCAAAGTCTCATCAAAGCCCTTCTCAGCCTCTTCATAGGTATGCTTGGGGGAAAAGGAAAAAAAATAATAATCTCAGTGATCATGCAGAAACAAAGCCTGTGGAAATAAAGTAGCACTGCCAGAAAAGAGTTACTGATGTCCTGTAATTTTCCAAGAGTAGCCACAAACCTCAACTGAGTAATAACAGAGTATAATACCACAACAGTCAGATTCACCCAGAAGTTGTGGACTCTACTGCAGAGCACTTTCAACAGCATGTCAATCATGACATGGTATAAACTTCAACAAATACTGCATCATGTATTTGACTATGAGGAATCCAAGCTCACAACGTTTGACTGCACTGTCCAAATCTTACTTGATTTTATGAAGCTTGAATTCATGTGACAATGGCAGCAAAGTTAAGGTTCAGAAAGAAGAATCCTTATATTTTTTCACTTATGTTTTATCTACTCTAATAAAACTATCTGATAGTGAGGGATGACAATAGATAGATGATTGCATGGCTGTAAAACTAGGTCAGACTCAAGAGCTGAAAATGAGCTGCAGATAGAGCAATGGATTCTTGATGGAGTTAAGTCTCTTGCTTACTTTTACTGCGGGCTAAAGGAAGTACTCATTTTGTAAGCCATTATATTTTCAACCCTTTCAAGGGGAAGCAGTTTTCTACTGACAGACATACTGACAAAGGCAACACAGGTTCTCAGCTTAGACAGTTCTTCTAAAAACCAGCACTTGATTATTTGCATCGGATTACGAGGATGTGCTTCAAAAGAAAGTGATTTTCTTACTCTGTACCACTGGGGCTTCTGCATCTCTTTTGGCTCCCGTTGAGTGGTGAGGATAAGGCAGGCTCTTAAGGCAGAAACGGCTCCCTCTCGGATGGCCTGTTTGGGATCCCACACAGCCACAAATATATTGTCAAAGAATGGCTGCACTTGTTGGAAGAAGAAGGTAGGCACGCTGATTGCCAGCTCACGCAGGACAAGAACCTGGAGGTGGAGAGACAAACAGTAACAATCTGTGAGGATGAGCACCCACAGACAAACCTCATCATTTCTAGACCATAGTATCATTTATTTAGATTGTCAATGTCTGTGAGCCTGAGTTGTTTCCAGCTCCATGCTTTTACAGTTCCTAGCACAATGGTGTCTCAAATCGTCTTCAGTCACTGGTCTAAGGTTGAAGCAATGAAGTAGCACTATATCTGCCATGAGAGCATCACAGATTCTCAGACATGGACTGGCAACCATTTTGATCCTGACCAAAGCTTTTCTGCAGCTTTTTTTGTGCGCATCTCCTACCACTGTGAACTATCCTAACCATCCTATTCCAAGACAGGAGAAGACAAAAAAAAAAAGATCACTTACGGCTGCATGTCTTCGACCTTCATTCCTGTCAGCTCCCAGCCATTCCAGAGCTCGTTTCACCTCAAACTCCACATACTCAGCTGTGAAGGTGTCACCAGCCATTGCAAGCCGCCCGATAGCCTTGGAGGCCATCTCCATTACAACAGGGTCATTGGATGGCAAAAGGTTCCTCAGGTAGTTGGCAAACCTGCCGATACGGGTGGCATTACCTCCTTCAACACCAATAAGGCTTGCTGTAGAAAAAGGGAGCAATGCTGTAGGTTCTCCCTAAGAGTCAGTGAGGCAGACAGTAGGTAATCCCCGGATAAGAGTTAGTATTCCCTAGCCACTCCTTAAAGATTCCCATTAAGTCTTTCTAAACTGCAAATGCACAGGGAAAAAAAAAATCAAGCAGTAGGAAATGGTCACCTTTCTTTTAAGCCTGAACTTGTTAAGTCGGCAGGAAAATGCATCCAGTAACTTCTTAGATTTTCTTCATTTTTAGTTTAAAAAGAGAAAAAAAAATCCATGCTGGGATCACAGACCCATTCCCAACAGAAAGGCATCCACCCACATGCCACTATGTCCACAGAAGTCAAAGACTGAATGATCCAAGGAAATTGCTCTACCCCTGAACCCTAGGGATGGTCTCTTCTGGCCAGGGTGGAGGCACGTTGGCAGCTGGCAGCTTTCACTGCTGGTGCCTGGGTTGTACCTGCTCTGAGATAAAGAGGCCACAGTGTCCAGGGCTGTCAAGCCGGCACCTTTCAACAGCACTAAATTCACAGAAACATTTTTAAAGTGATACTGTCAGCTTAAAATCAGATGTTGTCAACAAAATTTTCTCTAGCTAAGGGACTTCTGCTGTGTTCAAACATGTTGGGACTGGATCATTATGTTTGTGAGCCTGAACCATAAGCACATCCCATTTGATTATTAAAGAGGTAACTGCTACACGCTTGGAAGGCAAAGTATTTATGCAAGCTGATTTCCCTAAGTCAAGATGCAGGCAGCTCTGCCATGTCACAGCGAAAGCACAACCAGAGCAGCTGATGACAAAACTCTGCCACCACCTACTATCTTCACTTCCAGCCTATTTGCTCTCTAGTTCCTCAAATACCAAAATATGCTCCAGCAGGTCCTATATCAGCCACTCTTAGGGATGGAAGCTGCTGTTATTGAGCCAGGTAAATTTAAATAACAAGAATCAATCTCTTCAGACTGGAGAGTGTTGAAAAAGTCAGCCCAGCCTGATAGGTATAAATGGACAGCACAAACTGTTCTCAGCTGAGCTCAAGAACAGAATTTTCACATGTTCAGCACTCACATTTGAGGCTCGACTCCTGGAAGAGCTCAGAGCCCATTAAGCACCAGGTTTTCAGCCACTCTCAGCAGCTCCCACACTGACACTTACAGACAGGTTTTCAGAGCCCAGCAACTAGCACGCACCCAGCATACTGAGCAGTCAGACATAAAAGCTCATTCCTTTTGAAAAAATCTGTCCCTAAAGATAGATGGCACGAAAACTCACCAGAGGCGTTAAGCACTTTCACTCACCTATAGCCAGAATGCCACCCTTCCTTTCATTTGCATCAGAGCTAGAGACCAGCTCAAATATGTGATGGTTCAGCTGATCATAAAACCTGGTAGATTCTTCCTGACTCATCTGTAAAAGGAAAAAGGTCAGATCAGCTTTTAGCATTCTTTCCTTCCTTCCTGCCCCCAAAACCTCCCTAAAGACAACGCTTCTTAGGTCACTTAAGAAGAAATTAAATCAACCATACATTACAAACGCAAAACCAAATCTCTTCTTTGCGCCCTACATGTGTTAAGTTTATTTATTCTGGCGCTTGATCACTCATCTGTGTCACCATCTCACTCACCTCTCCTGCATGCTGGGGCAAAGGTAAGCTCCCTGCTACGCCTCACCTCCTCTCTAAGACCAGCTTCCATATTCCCAAAGTCTCCATCCCCAAAGTACCCAGCCAGCGCTTTAGACTCGTACAATAAACAAGGATAAATTATCTCATTTGCAGCACTCACTTCACGAAGCTCCATGGTGACATAATGCTGCAAGTCCTTGGCAGCTTTCGCCCTTGTCTCTTCACTGCGACTCTTCAAGCCATTGGCAAATTGTTGGAGAATGGACACAGTGCCCGACATGATGGTGGTATGTTGGGGCTCGGGGGCATCAAGTCCTGTAAGTTCTTCAGAGAGACACTTTTTTTTACTGCTTTCAGCTACTGAAAACTCTGAGCTTCTTTCTCAATGCTGCCCCTGCTGCCTGTTTCCAAAGCATACATCCCATCATGTGCAAGGATGCTGTGCCAGTAGAGCACAAAATTAAAAGTAATGACTATATTCCTTAGGCCTTACAATCCTGTGATAAAACTCTACCACCACCTACTATCTTCACTTCCAGCCTATTTGCTCTCTAGTTCCTGAAATACCAAAGTATGCTCCAGCAGGTCCACTGCCTGACCCCATGGAGACCCAATTCTAAATTGAGGGTCATGCAATAGCTGAAAAATAACAGGGTTGGATTAGGGTTTACAATTACCCCATAGTAAGTAAGCCAAATCATCCCTGTGATTACACTGTTATCATATCTGAGTCCCCCTTGAACACCTTCATCCAAGTTTCTCCACAGAAATTTTAGTGTTATGCCAACATGAGGAAGACTGAGCACTCCAGGCCTGGCAAGTGTCACACTCTCCAGTAGATACCTGGAGATGGGAAGTCCACTTATAGCAACACCAACCATTGCAACAAGATGTTTACTACCATAATATATAACCAAACTTTCTCGTGAGTCTTTCTGTACATGGAAATATTTTAGAGGTTTGAACCCCCTGGTTTTCAGATTATATAAGCCCAAACCAAACACTTGACAGAAAGGCCCAGAGCGACACAAGGCACCAAAACTTCATCTCCTTCGTCCCCAAATCTCTCCCACGCGGTCACAAAGGTCCACCCAGATTCCAGCGTGAGGCGTTCAGGACTTTCCCGCTGCTGGGAGCCAGAAGCTCCCCCGGGTGAAGAGAGCAGGCTGTGACTGCGGCCCCATCCCCGC